CCTCCATACATGGCTCAAATCCTCTTGCGCTGTTCTCTGTTTGTAAAGGGAATGAGGTCATCCGCAGGGCAAATTACTAATCCAATTAAATGGTGCACAGGATTGCATATAAGTGGTATGCACCCACAAAAAAGTATTTAATCAGCTGTGATTTGCCAGTGGGACTGGTTTCATTCCTGTTGCTCATGCGGAGCTACGTAACAGGATTTCAGCAAGTATTTCTTAAGAAAAATTGATTTTCAGGAAACAACATTTCTGGCAGGCACACAGATCTTGCCCATCATTTCTCTCGTTAGGGACTATGTACCAACCTGCCAACCTAGCAGTTCGAAAGCATGCAAATGCAAGTAGATAAATAGGTACCACCTCGGTGGGAAGGTAACAGTGTTTTATATCTAGTTGTGCTGGCCATGTGACCACGGAAACTGTCTTTTGGACAAAACGCTGGCTCTACAGCTTGGAAACGAGGATGAGCACCGCTCCCTAGAGTCGGACGACTGGACAAAAATTGTCAAGGGGAACCTTTACCTTTACCTAAAGTCATCCAAGGCTTCTTTTCCCCTCAAAAGGCCTGTTTCTCATACATACACATACACACTAACTTTAACATCTGGGCCTGGATTTAACAGGGGCTATAAAAGCATTCCCTCAGTAGTTTGCCATTTAATTATGCGGACTACTCCTCACTTCCCCCCCTCCCCTGCAGGAAGCTGAATGCTCAATTTACCGACATTGGAAGGATGGAATGCTGAGTAAACCTTGAGCTGCCTACCAGGGATTGAACATGAGTTGTGAGCAGAGTTTTGGCTGCAGTAGTGCAGTTTAGCCGCTGCAGCACATAACATATATAAGGTGAACCACGACCCCCCCCCAAGAAAACACTTTGCGACCCCCCTTGGGAACGATGACTTCCAAGGATGAGAAACACAATTTTAAACAAATCCATACCATCTGCCGCACATCTCTTAACCCCTTGGCTTTCTCCTCCAGCTTAGCTTCCAAATAAATGGGCCGAGTAATATCACGTTTACCTGCAGTGTGTGAAACTTATGGTGGGGGCTGTCTGTGAGCAGTGCTCAGAAGCTGTTATGGTAGAAAATGGAGCAGCCTATGTTGTAAATAAAATGGGACGCCAGAGGCGTAGAAGAGTTCATTATGGCTAGCAATCACTCATTAGCACCACAAAAGCTGTTAGTTTTCAGATCTTCTAGAGCCTTTTTATTTGGGATAAATACAGCTTATTGGATGGAATGCATCTTTTGATATGATGCCCCACCCACCCGTAACACATTAATGTCACATGAAGATATCTTGGTGTGGGTGCCATCTTTCGATGAAGCCAATTTTTGTAGATCAGGAGGGCCATCTTCCTGAAGCTCATAGCCTGTCATTCATTTTTAGCAGTGCCATCTTCAGCCTCAGACTGTCTTAAGGCTCATCAGAATGAAAACCCTCAGCCATGCAACTTCCTGGATCGCACTCTAGGTGCCACAAAACTAGTATCGAATATCATTGTGGGGCTGGCACTTGGAATTTGCAATCATTAGTGGAAAGGGTAATGACCTTGTTGTTCACAGGTTGCCTTATTTAATCACTAAGCGGCAAATTGCATCCATGGTTGGTAAGGTAAAGGTTCCCCTTGACATTTAGTCTGGTCGTGTCCGACTCTAGGGAGAGGTGCTCATCCTTGTTTCCAAGCCGTAGAGCCAGCGCTTCTCCAAAGACAGTTTCCATTGTCACGTGGCCAGCACAACTAGACATGGAACGCTGTTACCATGATGGTACCTATTTATCTACTTGCATTGGCATGCTTTCGAACTGCTAGGTTGGCAGGGTGGTACATAGTCCCTAACGAGAGGATTGATGGGCAAGATCTGTGTGCCTGCCAGAAATGTTGTTTCCTGAAAATCAATTTTTCTTAAGAAATACTTGCTGAAATTTTGTTACGTAGCTCCGCATGAGCAACAGGAATGAAACCAGCCCCACTGGCAAATCACAGCTGATTAAATACTTTTTTGTGGGTGCATACCACTTATATGCAATCCTGTGCACCATTTAATTGGATTAGTAATTTGCCCTGCGGATGACCTCATTCCCTTTACAAACAGAGAACAGCGCAAGAGGATTTGAGCCATGTATGGAGGAGGAAAAGTGGACCTCTTAGAAGAGGAAGGAAAAAGAGAAAGAACAAATTTTGGGGATTAAAGAACAGATGATTTCTAGGAAGTCGAAACTTTTTAATGGGAACTAATAGGTATTTTAATTTTACAGGCACAATATTCTCATCATGTGATACAGGAGATTCTGGCACATCTTGATGCTCGCAAAAGAGACTTTCCTCGGGTTCGAGCAGGTATCATTCAGGCCCTTTTGCAAGCTGTTGCTATTGCTGCAAAGGGTTCCATAGGTGCGTATCATGAAATCTAAGTTTCTGAGCAGAGTTTGATGTTATTTTTTTCCATAGTCTGACCTCCAATATATGGAAGTGGGGCAGGTGGTATATCTACTCCACCTTGGAGATCTCAGTAGATCTGTGTATGAATGGAAAGGTGGAATTCAGCCTGTGTGTTGCAGTTGCAGTGGGATCCAAATATTTTTTGGAAATCAATCATCTGATGTGTCCAATTCGAATCTAGGTTGTATGTTCTGTGACTGTGTAAGCATGCAGAAACAGTAAAGGGACATAGGAAGCTGCTTTATACTGGCTGAAATCCTATAGTAGTAGCCAAAGGTTCATTGCACATAGCTTATTACTTTGCATTGAATTTAGTTGTTTTCTTTGTACGTTTGAACCAGGGACACACATAAATAGCCTATTAACATTTCCAGCTGGGAACAAACAATGAACAGCTGGCTAATGTAGTATCCGTCTAATAGCTGGTCAGCACTTTGGGGCACCGTAAACAATAGTATAAATTGTAAGTCCACCACAAACTACCGAGGTCATGTGATGCCAACGTTCCAAAAGGCGTGAAGGTCCAGGCTAGGACAAAGAGAATGTTTTGAACATACCCTGATTTGAAACGAAAACAAAATGTTGATGTGGTCAGCACTGCTGTTGCTATTAGACTGTTCTGGCATGAAAAGCCCAGAATTCTCAGAAACAGCAACAATAGGACTGGATATTTAATGGCTTATAACAAGGCAGGGTGAAAACCCATAGGGAGGAGACGTGTGTCTGCTTTGGGAATATTTGAGGGAGATGCTCCGTCGCTGCTATGATTGATTAGAAGCTGGCTTCTACCTTGAGAAGTTCAAAGCAAATGTGGAAGTAGGTCCTCCGATGAGAAAAGAAAAACAAGTTGATGGATGAACCTTAGCATGTTCAACTGAAAGCATCTAGGGACAGTTTTGGGGAATCCTGCAAAACTACAACAGATGTCCAGTTGGTTGACATGGACGTAGGATAGCAGTGAGAAACTATCGGTCAACTATGGGTTTATAGAACACAGGCTGTTCAAGCAGAAGGTCCACATTACAATCTCCATTAAAACAAAAGCCATTTCAGATGGTAAGAATGATTTCAAAGAAATGCTGGAGAGCCACTTTCAGTCAAGTAGACAAGTACTGGCCCAGTTGGACTAATGGCTTGATTTGGTATTAAGTCACTTTTCTAGAACCCTGGGTGCTTTGATAAGGGAAACAATGCACTAGCAAAGCACACGGTAGGATGATCAGCATCACAACTTCAGTGTGCCACATCCCCGGGGCAGGGAAGGCCCCAAGTCTCAAACCATGGAGAGAGACAGTTATTCCTGACAATGCTAGGGTACGACCTGAACTTGAAATGGGTCAACACCCCACTTTCCCAAACGGATGATCCACCATTGTCATCTTAATGGACTCCTGGTCTTCCCGAGTCAGTAGAGGGCAGCGTCTTACATTTCTGTAACATCATGAAGGATTTCCACTGTGGTGCCGTGGATGGAGTGGCAGGCTACAGCTCTGGAGAAGAGAGTTCGAATCTCAACTTGTCCATAGAAATTCACTGGGGAGTGGAGCTGGGAAAAACACCCCTTAAATATCTCTCTTACTGTGAAAGCCCTATTACAGTTGCTATAAGTCAGTTCTGACGTGACGGTAAAGAACACACAACATCCATGTACAGTGGTGCCCCACAAGACAATGTTAATTCGTTCCATTGAAATCGCTGTTGTATGAAAACATCGTCTTGCGAAAAGCGTTTCCCCATTGGAATGCATTGAAACCCGTTTAATGAGTTCCAATGGGGAAGAATCGTCGTTGTCCAGCAAAGATCACCCATAGGAAAGCTGCTTTGCGAAGTGCCAATCAGCTGTCAGAATTGGCGTCTAGTGAAAAATGGGCCCGAAAACACCCGCTTAGCAAAGCGCTGATCAGCTGTTTAAATGTCATCTAGCGAAAAAAAATGGTCCTGAAAAAAATAGTCGTCTAGTGAAGCATGGACCAAATCATCGTCTAGCAAAAATCCCCCATAGGAAACACTGTTTTACGAATCACTATAGCAATCGCAAAAGTCATCGTCTAGCAAAAAACTGTACTGCGGGTAATTGTCTAGCGAGGTACCACTGTATTTATTTTTTAAAGTGTATGTACGCTCAGGCAGAGTCCCAAAAGCTGTAAAGTCTAGCTTGTCTAGCAC